AATTTTGAACTGAAGTTGCCTCAAAAGGTAATACCATTTAACTTTCCATTATGTTTATTGATTCAAGGAAAACTACGGGCCTCTTTGCTAATTGATTTTCAAATGCAACCGATGCGTATGATAATACCAGGATGAGATATTTCTTTTCTAACAGAATTTTTTTGAAAAGGATGTTACCTAATGACTTTGTGAAAAAAATATATTATTTGAATTTAGATTAGTGGACAGAGACTACTTTCACCAGACAAATCTGCTAAACTTTATAACTCATATTCAAGAATCACTATCAAGACATACATTTACTGACAGAATCAAAGCGTTCCTTTACCCCATTCATTGCTGACAAAACTGCAAAAGAAATCTTTGTAGTCAGATACATAATGTTAATAATAATAAAATTAATAATAACAATAATAAGAGAAACTTGGATACAAACCTGAGATTGCAGGGGTAAGGATGCCATCGCCAATTTGCATGCACATTCCTAAAATAGCAACAAAAAGCAACCCTCTCCTGGCAACTATACTTTTCTCAAAAAATTTGACAAGCCTACTTTTCCTTTCGGTGTTTTCAGCCAAGATTGAGTTTGAATTAGCACAGTTAGAAGAAAGGATTCCAATGTTCATATTCTTACAAAGCAATGAATACAATGCAAATGTTCCACCTGCAGTCAATAAGTTGAAGGGAATAAGTTGTCTGCCCCAATCAGAGTTCATAAACTGGAGTATTATAAAGAATAAACATAATTGAAAGGACTTTTTCATGCTAAGTTGGTTTGCATGTTCAAAAAACTTCCGACATAGGTTCATAACCAAATGCGAACAAAATTCAGGACAGCTCTTTGCTTCTTGGCCCCAGCAGAACCACAAAGAATTGGAATATAAGAAATGTACCTTCTCCTTGATCATCTGCTTTAAGAGCTATGCAACAATACTTCACAACCCCAATGAGAGTAAGAGTCCAAAACATGATGCTAAAGATTCCCAAGTATTTCTCTTCACTTGGAGATTTCAAAGGCATTGATGGATACACGTGTAAAGGAGATATTACAAGCCCACCGAATACAACTCCTAGAGCCTTATATGCAAGTACTACATTGCCCCATCCACCAACATTCTGCTTTTAAACAATTTATGAGAAATGAGATTGATGAACTTTAAGAAAAAAATCAAATAACAAAGTAAAAACTTTGTATTTCAATCCTAGGATGACTAATAATTTCCAAAACCTGAAGTCATCTAAAAAAATACAATATTTTGAATGAAACCCAGAAGCTCAAAGGACTGAAACAAACCATTGAAATTGTAATCTTGATAATACCACAGCAACTTCAATAAAACTTAACCAAAAAAAGAAAAAAAAAAACAGCGACCAATGTGTATAGGCTGGGTGGTGCTACAGGAAACTTTTTTATGTCACATTTTTTATATAACTTTCATATGTTATTAAATAAATGAATGTAATTAATGTTATGAATCCTATATGAATAAAAAAAATCAATCCTTATATCAAAAAGTGATATAAAGAGGTTGTTCCAAAATTATTTCCCATATAGACTACATATGCATTTACATGAAGTAGACAAGTGCAGAAGGAAAATAAAATGCGAGAACAATGGCGTGATAAAAGCAAAGTATAAACCTTGAAATTGGGCGACATGGCGTGGCTGTTCTGAGGGTCCCAAGTTTGCAGCTGAATCAGTAACCAATATATACATAATTATAATTTATTGTAATAAAATGAGGATGGACTTCTAATATCGGCACCTCTTTTACTTCTTGGATTTAATAACTTTTATTTTGTAATTTAATATGATTTCAAATCTAAATAGTAAAATAAAAGGTTCTTTAACTTTTATTAAATGCTTTGTCAAAAGTGATAAGTAAATTATGTGCAGGGTGAATATTGGTCTTTTTATGTAAGGAAAGTGAATTTAAAAGCATTTGTTTAATGTAAAAAAAATTAAAAATATTATTAATAAATTTTCATACCTTCTTAATTTTATTAAGAGTACTTTTGGCTTTAGGAATATTATAATTATAATATCATTAAAATTATAATTTTATAATTATAATATTTTATTAAATAAGTGAATAAATATGATATTATAAATAAATTTTAAAAAGAATTAATTATATAACAATTTATTATATTATAAATTTATAATATCTAGTAACTTTGTAACTATATATTTTTATTTTCAACTTATGTTCCTAAATACAAAAGTAAAAAAACAATTTTATATATAATAGTATGTCTTCTCAAGTATTTTATAAAGTACTGGTAGTCTTTAACTAATTATAAAATTTACATTTCATAAAAAAAAAATAAAATTTACATTACTAAAATCTTTAAAAAAAATTCAAAATTATTAATACTCTTAAGGCTCAACTAGGATAGGAAAGATAGAGTAATCTTTAAAAATATTCAGCACTAATACTCCTTAAGGCCCAACATCAAAAAAAAAAAAAAACTCCTTAAGGCCCAATCAAAATGTGGATAGTTTTTTCAAAATTAGTACTCCTTAAGGCCCAATCAAAATATGGATAGTTTTGACCAATTAATTTGAAGGTACTTCTCAACCCTATATATCTTTTTTTTTTTTTGAGAAACTCAACCCTATATATCTTTTTTTTTTGAGAAACTCAACCCTATATATCTTTATGCATCAATAAAATTACATTTTGCCTACTAATTAACATTATTAATTCTTGCAATACCTTCAAATCATAAATACGGAAAAAGAAAATAAAGGTTGTTGAGGAAACATGGCAGTGGATAAAACAAAAAATGTTGTCCTATCCATGAACATGCTGATGTGGAAGCACAATATTTTTAAGTTTTGTATTACTGCTCTGGTTTATTTTGGTGAGATACCTTTTAAAATTAAGGCTTTTATTTAATTTCCTCACTTATGTTTTTGTATATAAGAGACATTAAAATATTTGTCTTTTGTATTTACTACTCTGTTACTCTAATCTAATAGTAACTACTCTAATCTAACACTAATAGGGAAAAGAAAGTATTCAATATACTTGTAGATATGACATTTCCATATACATTGCATTTTGTTTTTCCTTACATTTTTTTGATAAAGGTTTTTTTAATCTAGGATACTTTTTTTTATAAAAAATATATAAATATATAAAAATTAATATTAATTTTAATATACTAGATAAGTGCATAAATTTAATTAAATAGTTAATAAATTAAAAATAAATTTTTATGTTTTAACAAAAATTAATAATAAAAAGAGAAAATAAAAAATTGAGATATCTTAATATTAAAAATAACAAGACGTCATATTACAATTACTAAATATGTAAAATATAATATCAGTTATTATAATTTTATCAAAATATCTTTATTTTTTAATAAAAATATATTTATTATATTAAAAATATATGTTAAAAGTACC